TCTCTCTCTCTCTCTCTCTCTCTCTCTCTCTCTCTCTCTCATAGTCTTGAGATAGTATCTTAGTATCTTATATATCACAGACTGGCCTCTAACTCACCATGTAACTGAAAATGACTTTGCCCTTCTGATCCTCCTACCTCCAACTCTCGAGTGCTAGGATTACAGGTGTGTGACACAATGCCCATTTATGTGGTACTGAGATGGAAACCAGGGCTTCATTTATGTAACACTAGCTGAACTCCATTTTTGACCCCTGATAATTTATTATCAATAGCAATTCACAAACATTATTTTTAATATACTACAGAGTACACAAGCCCAGTTAAAGTGAAAATTCTAACTTTTACATAAAATACTAAAATTATCCTTAGGAAAAAAATTCTTCTTTAAAAAGTAGAAATAAACAAATTAATTCCAGTCTTAACATGAAGAGTGTTCTTTCCTCCCCAAAGCCCTAGGGGGTGTTGTACCTGCATGTCTAGACTTTTTGGCTGTGTTGACTGCCGCCATGAACATGTATTCACTATTAGGGTCATGCATGCTGGATCCGTACTTCTGAAAGAGATAGTTAGAAACATGGTTTGTTATCTGCTCTTTCCCATCTTCATGCTTGTTTTCCAAGTGTTTTCTGGATCTTTTTGTGGAAGCAGCATGTGAAAAAATTGCAATTGTGGACTTAAGCTCAGTAAAACAATATGCAAAAGGTTCCCAATAAAAGGTGCTTTCTGAACTGGTGAGATGACTCTGTGAGGAAAAGCACTTGCTGCCAAACCTGATGACCGAAGTGTTCAATTCCCAGCATCTGAAGTTGTACAAGGAAAGAATAGACTCATATGCTTACAGTTGTGCATGTGCACACACACATACATACACACTCACATGTGCACACATGTATACACATGTGTGCATACACAAACTCACACATACTCACATATGCACACACAGACTCACACACACATACACACTCATACATGCACACACACATGCACACACATGTGCAAACACACATGCACACAATCTGGCCAACTGATATAATATGTAGAATGGAGAAAGTTCTTTGATCAAAATACCTGCTATGTGAACAGCTAAAAAAAAAAAAAGTTCCACCACAAAAAGATATTTCGTTGTCCCTATTAATATTGTCCTGAATAGCTTTTCAGACATTTTTCTTAAAAGCAAGTTTGATGATGTAACTTATAAAAAAGCAGTTTCCTTCTAAACTACTGTTGGTACCTTGTAAGATAATCTCACTGTTTCAATGTGACAATTAAGAAAAACAACTAATTGTTTCAGCTTTGTCCTGATTCATAGGAAGCTTAGGTTCAAATCTTAACCCAACATTTGACAATTTTTTAAAAATCAACGGCATCTATTTTTTATATTTTAACCTCCTTCCTAACCTTTATCTTTGACTGGCCCCAATTTTCCATCTATTTATGAAAAACTAGTAATAATAACATATTTCTATAAGCCTCTGAATCATTTTGAGAACAAAGTAAGTTATTAACAAACAATCTCTGTTCCAAGTTATTAGTTTAATTAGGATGTATATCTTAAGGAAAAGGAAGGATCTACCTTTTGCTCAGGTTGATCTTGAGAAGCGTCCCACATTCTTTGACGAATTAAAAAACCACCCAGGGAAGACAGTATAAGGAAAAGTAAAAGTCACTTACCTTTTTTGCACACCAGATGATAAGTATGCATCCAAAAAGGAGTACCACAGCAAAAGCTGCACACCCTACAGGTAGCCAGAGCTTCAGCTGGCAGCAGAGCTGAGATTCTGGGTTGAAGAGGGGAAAAGATGTTGATGAAAGACCCAGAAAACATGTCCTCATTCAATGCTGAATAGAGAAACCTTTCATAAAATATAACGAAGGCTTTTAATCAAGGAAGGCTTTTCTCTTTCATGACAGTGAAACCTAGTAGATGACAAACAACATCACCTCTGCCTTACAGCAAGGACTCTGCAGTTCAAACTGGAAAGAGTATGCCAGTATGTTTACAAACGTTGACTAATAGGTGGTGCCTTCCCATATGCAGCTTTTACAAGACTAAGTAGGAAGATACTTGGTGTAATACTGATGTTCAATTGTCTCATCTCTTTCTCCAAGCTGCTTCCTACCTAAGACAAGTAGACACAACAGCCGCTGAGTCATGAGTGATTCTGAAAGACTGTGTTTGAAAGACTGTGCCTAAGTCTAACTCAACCGTACATGTAAATAAATCACTTATTCCAAATACACATCAGTTAATATTAACAGTGCATCATCCCTTGCATATTTCATCCAAGATGATCTGCTGTCGACTACTTCTAAAGGAATTTCAACACAACACACACGGGGGGTGGGGGGAGATTTGTTTATTTCCCTTGGTGAGAAAAGTCTTAGAGATGAGCATACACTTTTAAGGCACGATGATAAAAACAACCAATGTCTTACCATAAACACGCAAATATCCTCCACTAAGGTTCTTTTCTTGAAAAGGAGGTGGATCAAAAATTGACAGGCTGCAGAAGTAATAGCTGCCTTGGGAGCTGTCTGGGTTGTTTAGGAAAAAAGAGACACTGTTGTTGAACAGCTGATATGGACAGAACACCGGATTCTTGATTGAGACCACATTTCCGCTTCCCTTGGTCTTGGTGAGGTCACAGAGGACTTTTTTATCTTTGAACAACCGCATTTTTAACTGCTGGACAATCTCAGGGTATTCACAAGAAATCTGCACACCTCCATTTTGAAATGAAAACATCCTGTGATTGGCCAAGCCATTGATTTCTCCTGGATCAAAAAAGAGAACAAAGCAAGAGTGGTATGTTGTGAACACACTGTCATAATAATTATATATAAAGTGGAGAGTGATTTTTTTTATAAAACCACCCCTATTTATACCAAAATGAAAGATTTTATAGCCAAGCAAACAAAACCAGAACGTGACAAGACAAAACTATGCACTAGAATACACCTAACCAGAAATAGGCTTTTCATGTGAGAGACAGAATATAAAATGTTATGTATAAAATAACATGTTTAGATAGTATGACTCAGATAGTCTCCACAATTTTACAGGTTCCACACTGAGGGCCAGACAATAAACAGATAAAAGAGTGTTGATTTGCCATGATTTGTACTAGGAACAAAGTGCTCTCGGAGAGTGCAGTAGGGCTGGGTGGTGCGTTATAGTATTCACTGGGGGATCAGAAAATGCCTTCGAAGAAGTGAATTTTAACACTGAAACCAAAACATGAGTCTCTTTTAGCTAAACAAGGAGACTTGCAGGAAGATATTATGGAAAATAAAGTTTTTAAAAGTATACAAATTTACTGGAGCTAAAAATTAAATGATTAAATATAAATAGCATTACATCCTCCAACTGAAAAGGAAAGAGACAGATCAATTCTGTTCAAACAGTAGTGTGTCTCTCATGTACGCCATTCACTGAAAACCAAATTGGCCCAAGGTCAGGCCCCAGGTTTCTGCTTACTTTTCACTTTTAAGATCACTGGAACCAGACTTGGTCTTATGAGCTATATATACAGGAGGAAGACACTGAAATGACTTTAATTTGGTTGTAGATTTTGAACTACTGGCTTATAGGTTCAAACTGTTTGGTTTATTTCATTTTTTAAAATGATGTCATTTTTTTAATGAAAAATTTTACACTAAGATTGTTTTAAAAATTATCAGAATGGTAGCTTTTACTTAAAAGAGTTGCTAAATCTCTTTTTTTTTCTTAAAAATATCAAACAATACAAAATAATTTAAAGAAAAAATGGCCATCCCTAGTAAAATGGAAAATATTTTTTATTTAGACTTCTTAGTGGCATTATTTTGCATAGCAAACACAGCATTTCATTCTCTGCTCTCATCATGACCATCTTTAATGACTGTATACTGAGCCGACAGTGTGCATTTTCCATGATTTATTAAAATTAGCACTCGGGTGGTAACAGGACGATTCACAGCACTTTGCTTTTATGTAAGCACTATGGTATTTGCCCAAATGCATCTTACCATAGTACTTCCTTAAAGAAGGGTACAGCTCACGTTAAGATCAGCATCATTATGCTTGGTCCCTTAACGTCTTTTAAGCTTCATCAGAATTATCTATGAATTTATTTATCAATTTATATCTTTATTTTAGTGTCTCTAACCCTTAGTGTACTCCTCTCATATTTTTAGGAAATACTCTCAAATTAGAGGCTTGGCTATAAAAAATAAATACAAGTGTCCCAGCTTCTAATTATATCAGTCAATACACCTTATCTAACCATAAAACAACAGGAAATGGTAAGCAAAATGCCTAAAAGTAGTGTTGCAGGGACTAAATAATTGACCTAGAAAATACAGCTTAAAGTAAACAAGGCCCTGGAATCAGGGGCGGGAGCAAGACTTTAGTGGCAATTTTGCTCTGAAGACATTTCTTTCTCTTCTTCTTTTTTTTTCTGCTTTATCTCCCAGAGTCGACAAAGCAAGGAGGCTGGGGGTGGGGGGGTATTTCCTTCAGTAAGCTGTTTTCCAAAGAATGCTGAAAAGGCCCTTGGAATAAAGAGAAACCTGAGTAAACTGACGCTCATGTTGGTTGTAGTCCAGAAAAATCTCAATCAGGGGATTTTAGTCAGAGTCATCTTAGACTGCCATTACCCTAGACTTTAAAAGTAAACATGCAAGCCAGGTAGAAAAGATGTAGAGTCGACTTTACAAATAGAATTTTTAAATATCATAACAAGTACATTTAAAAACAAAAAAAAGAAAAAAGAAAAATGGAACATGGGCCAAAAGGCAGCAACAGAAATATCAGATTAGATAACCAAACACCAGCATCATGTGCCTTTGAATTATCAGATGTCCCAAAATGAAACCACTGTGCTCATTATGTTTATAGAAATTAAAGACGTACTTACAATCCTATCATCAGAGTAAAGGAAAAAATTAAGTCAACTAATAAATAGAAATAAAAACTGAAATAAAAATAGAAATAAAAAAGAAATAAAACTGGTCAAAAAGTGCACTTACTAAAACCCAGTGAGTGGGTTTAAAAAGTATATGAAGCAAGGCGAGAGAGGCAACTGATTAACTAGAAGATTTGATTAGCCAAGAGCCATGTTAAAAAAAAAAAGTATCCAGAATTCAGGCACAATGCAACGAGTCAAGAATCTCAACCAATTAAAAAATATATATATTTAAAAATATACACCATTTAGACATATAACAATCTAGAGTGTCTAAAATCAACAGCACTGGCTACCTTCCAAAGAAAGAAAGTAGTGATGTCTCTGTATCAGCTATACAGGCTATACATGAGGCAGCAGAATTAGAAATCACATGTGTCCCAAAAGAAGCCACCTGTCTGCCCAGAACACATTAGAAAGATAGTGAATGCGCACACATTGTGATTTATTGCATCACCACAGAGAGCAAAGGTGCAACAAATACCTGAATGGATGCTACAAAATCCACCCGTAATGCTCTTTCCTGAGAGGGAGAAGAGAGTTTGCATCATGAAAGAACATAGAAAGCAGAAAGATGTCTGTGTGCTAACAATGTTTTATCCTTGGCTTGCGGTAATTGTGGGGGTGAGGTAGCCCGTGTGAAGTTTATTCACTCTAAGTGTTCATTTACTATTTGTTCACGCCTCTGTATGAGTGTTTTGTCTTACAGTCTAAAAGCATGCAGAGAAAAAAATAAAGCTGCTTTCACTTCTTTTCATAAAAGGGAAGGTGCAAGTTCAAAGCAAAGGGGTGAGATCAGACCACACTCCAGGTGCAGCTGCACTGGCTTCAAGCGAGGACCCCCCTGAGGACTTTCGCCAGTGAGTGCCACATTGCACTCCTGCTATGTTGATGCCTCTGTCTCTACTATCTGCTGCAGAAGATAAGATCAGCGGACAGCTTCTCAGTTCCTTTAGCATTGTTCAGAGAAAATTTCCCAGAGACTTTAGAATGGCAGCAAGCAAACCACAAAGAGATCCTGGGTCAAAACTGGCTTTTAGCCTCTGTATACACATAAAAGTGTGTCAGCAGCTTCCGCTTCTTTGCCTGCACTATGACCCTCAAGCCAGCATAAGGTGAAAATTAGCTTTGGGACTGCTATGCAGTACTGCTCAAGGAATTGAAGAACAAATTCTGGTTCTGTCCTGTGCCTGGCATGCAGGTCTTTACCTAGAGTACCCTGTGGGCTTGTCTCTTTCCATCTGTAAAATAAGTGAAAACAGTGTCTTTAGAGAGCTCTTTCTCAGAGATGGCTCAGTGAGTAAAGTGCTCATTGCACAAGCATGAAGACTTGGGTTTGAACACCAAAAGCCTGGAATGCGGTGTGCATTGCTAACCTCGGTGCTACAGGATGGAGACAGGCAGAGCCTAGGGACTTGCTGGGCAAATACTAGGCAAAATGATGATCTTGGGTTCAGGGAGAGACCCTGTGTCAAAACCAAAGTCAAAAGTGACTAAGGAAGATGCCTGATGTTGACTTCCAGCATCCTATAGATGCATACACACATGTACATATGCACTTCTGTGCACATGCATACATACACACACAAACACACACACGGGTGTACACACACACAAACATATACAGGCACATACACACAGAGGTTCTTCTCCACACTTACTTTCTGTGGGTTGACACATTTAGAAAAAAATCAGACAATCAAGAGAGACACACGACTTCACTGTCAGGTGAGTTCCCTTCAAAGATACCATATTTTCCACAATCTTCTTTTTATAAAGAATATTCCAAGGAGTCTGGAAAATGCTAACATGAGTGAAGCTATCTTTCTTGCCTACAGAAGGACCTGGGACTGCTAGGAACGGATCAGTTTTTCTTATTTGCAGAACCAAGGGTGTTAAAATCAACTTCGGCCTCCAGAATGTCATCTATCAGGCACTCAGTGATCATTCTTAGCTTAAGCACATCCTGTCTCACCTCTCCGTCATTGAACACGGTGATGAGAAGACTGACTCATGTTCTCACATTCCCTACGTTTAAATGTTAAGCTTTCAGTCTGAAAAAGAAAAGTTTGGCAACTGTAAACCTGCAATTTGAACGTTTGCAACCACGGTAGTTAAATATTTACCTCAAAATTACTTTGTACCTATAGGACAGATGTACTAAATATCAAATTACAAATTCTTTTTAGCTGTTAGCTGAATTTGGCACATTAATACAAGAAGAGACAGCACTGCGCTATGACTGAGGAGGTGTGATGTAGGTATGAGTCCTGAGTTCAGAGCCCCAGCACCCATAAACAAAGGTGAATGTGCCAGCCTGCGTGTATAACCACACCAAGGGGGTGGGGAGAAAGTCCTGGAATTCACTGACAACCAACATAGCCAAATACAGCTAATCTAGCTAAATCAGTGAGCTTCAGAGTCAGGGAGAGATGCTGTCTCATAAAAAAGTAAAGAACAGTAGAGAAAGGTACCAGTCATTAATCTCTAGCCTCAACATGCATACATGTATGTACATACGCACAAGATTTAATACACACACAGAAAAACACACAAACACACACAAGGGGGAGACAGATAGAAAAATGAGTGAACGTGAAACTCCTTACCTGTAAATAGATACCTATCAGGTTCAAAAGGTTTACTAACCTAATTGATAGAATGTTTGTTTGTTTGTTTGTTTGGCTGGTTGGTTGGTTTTCCTATTTCATGATTACTAAGGGCCAGACAGGTTTAATTCTGATTCTTCAACTCTCTTAAAGTACATAATAGTTTAACTTGCCCAGTGTGTGAACAGGCCATGGGACCCGAGAAAAAGCATTCTGCTAA